AGCTGTGTCCAACGGTCAGAAGTGGCCAAAAACATGCCAGCGGCTGGACATGAGAAAGAATGGTCTCAAACTAGTGGGTTTGCTGAATAGGGTACGTCTGCAATTAAAAAGAACGATATGAGAAATCATTGAAATTAATAGATTATGAAATGTGAGAAACGGTGGTTGAAAGTTGAGAAGGAACTCGTTATGTTTGCTCGATATATTGAAATAGAGAGAAGGTGTTGAACCACCATCCAAAAGGAGGTGACCAGAATGAAGTTAATTAACCAAACTATTTTATAATGATCTATGTTTTAAATTTTCTTTTGCTTATATGAGACTATATAAGAGGTAAGATGGAGCCGCATACTCTTCTTGCCCTAGTTTATGAGAATATATGAAGAGCAGTATTGTGTGGCATTTTGCTAACTTAATTTTGTTTCCTCATATTATTAAGCAGCTATATAAATTGTTTAGATTTACAGTATTAAGGAATAATTATTATTGCTATTATATCAATGTTTAAATATACCCAAGTGAGCGCACACTATACACCCTAGTATTTAGTTATTATTATTATTAATATTTTAAATATTACTATTATAGTAATTTAATAATAAGTCAGGGTACATTTAATAAAATGTTATTTATCTATCTACTACATTATATGGCAACCAAATTTAACTAAATAATCCTTATTTGTTAATTTACTGATATAAATTATCACTAAGCAATTTTCCAAATAATGATTAGTCAATCAAATTTAGTTACAATATAATCCAAAACCTAGTTGAATAAGCATTTATTCTATATAAATTGTAATATCATTATTATTCTATGCAGGGCATGCAAGAGCCATAGAGCAAACTTGTAGAAATTGCTCCTTGACAGGGAATCTTCAGGGCCCTCTTTAATGGATGAGAAATCTTTTTGGGAGTTAGGCCAATTGGACTTAGAAGCAGTCTTGAATCCTATCCAGTTCATTGGGGGAACTCCGCTATATTAAAAAGCCGGAGTTCAAATTTAATTCTATATATATATATATATATATGTATATATTTTGCGTGCGTATTACTCGTTATTGTCGATATTAAGTATTAAATCTCTATATCTCCCACCGCAGAGCCACTCTGACGAAATGCACTCAACGACTTATTATTAAATAAATAATAGAATATAATTACTTAGATTTTTGCTTTTTAGCCTGAAAAGTATCTTGTTGGTGATTTTTTCTTGGAGTTGATCGATTGACAACAAAAATCATTGCTGAAATAGCTAAAAATAGCACGCCAGTATAATATTTATTTTTGGCAGTAGTGATAGATTCTACCTCGTGCCACGCTGGAAGAGCACACGTGGACCCAAAACGTACTGACTTCGACTTGCTTCGGACGCAAGTGATCACATTTGCTCAGTCAAGGTGATGTAGCCTTAGCCGGTAGATCAGCAGACCTCAGGCACTCTGAAAGGCATTAACCTGAAGAGTGATGTTTGCCTAATCGGCGCCGAGTCGCGGTTTCCATGCCTCTGTACAGCCGAGCGGCATAGTCGACGAGGCAACAACCGAACTCGTTGCCAGGGCTCTCTGGCATTTGAACAAACCCTCTTCTAAAGTAGACATGAAGTTGCCGCTCGCTTGGCTCAGGTTCAACGTCCCCTCCACCACATCTTGCCCCTCTTTCTCCTCTTCGTTGTCCTCCTCCTCGTCG